AACTTTTTGGATCTGCATTAGTTTTACAAGGTCTTTTGCACATTTTTCTGTCCTGAAAAGTATTCCTACTGTCTCAATTTGACACCTCTTCTTTCCTGCACTGGAAAAGAAAATTAACAATTTCTGTCCATCTTACTTTATGCCACTTGTAGTTTTATTATCCTCTATAATTTCTCCTTTCATTTTTTTTTTTCTTTTCCATAAGGAAAAGTGACAAGTCACTTCATAGGTCGGTATACAGAAATCACAGAGATATTTTCTAATGAAATAAAAACATATCTATAAAGTGTCGAAGTTTTCTAACGTGTTGGAAAACTTAAAGTATAATCAATTGGTGTAATTACCAATTTAGCAGTCACCAAATAGAATAGAGAGATGTGACATATTCACAGAGATTTAGCTGGATCTACTTCTGTTGATTTTCTTGGTTGTATGTAGAGTTTTATGTGATAATTTCTGTTCCTTTATCATGCAGAATTGAGCAAGTGATGAAGAGTGCTTTCTCTTTATCTCTCTTTTCTTTTGGTGTTACATAGTAACCAGTGCCACAGAACAGAGGCAGTTGATTGTTGAGCTATTCAAATTTCTCATCAGATAAACTGGAATATTTTGTGTTTAATATTTGTGCTCTTCTAAATAATTTCTAATAGGTTTGTTGCTATCAGAGCTTTCCCTAGTTTCTTCTTTTTGTCTCTTCACTGCAGACCAGTCTTTTTTCCTGTTTTACACAGTCTCAACTCCTTCTTTTCATACATTTTCACCCTTGTTTGTCTGAGGCTGTTTTAGTGATTTCCCTCTATGCTATTTAAGACCATCATTATCACTGTTCAGAATGACTCTGAAGAAAAGTTGAACCTCTTGTTAAAGCAGTATGGGAGGCAATTTACAAAACCTGTCACGTACTACAAAATCAGCTTTAGAACAAATTATAAGAGAAGAATTTGACACTGAAAAACCTCCTACCAGCTAGAAACTTTTATCACTATTAAAGTCCCTTAGCTAGCTGAGGGAAAACTGTACCACAAATAGTCATTCAAAGACATGAGAATATGTGTTTCAAGACCAAATTTTAAAATAGACTCAGTTTCCTATTTCTTCTGAATGCCTTTTCTTGACTAGTGATATTTTTGGGTTTTAGAAACTATTAATTTAAAGACTAGAAACAAAATTCTTCTTTCTCATATCTTTCCTCTTCTCATGAAATCTAATTCAGGTATTTATTCAGCGTCTATCTGGCTTTGGTGGTCCCTGCTCACCAAATCTTAGTCCTTGAGAGGTTTCTTTGACACTGATACTCTCTTATTTTTAAAAGACAATGTTCTAAAGAAAAATAGTCTTAATTTGTCTCTCTGGCCTGGCGCTGACTGTTTGCTAACCCCAGCTGCCCATGAGAAGAACCTTACTCATTTCCATCTGGGGACAAAAATTGCTAGCCAAGAGACACATCAAATCTTCTTCTTCCCTTTTCTTTTTCTTCCTTCCTACAAGAGACATAAAGAACTGCAATGAAAAATAAATGCATGACTAAATAAGCATTCAGAGGATCCAGCAACAAATCACTCAAAAGAAAAGCAATGCAGAGAAGGAAGCTGAAAGAGTCATCATGTTTACCAGCAGGCAGTGATCAGGGAAAAAAAATAGAAGCTTGTTTGAGGTAGCCACCCATATCAAGTACATGGCAAGGACATCTGGATAGACATTGTTAGTTTGCTTCTGTGATGATTCCTTAAAAAAGAAGAGTTTCACAGATGATCAATTTGTTAACTAACTGTCATTCTACAACTTCTGATATTTAATCTTGTATATTTTGACACCAACAAGTCTCTTGAGAAATTACAGAGATTTTGTAACAAAATGAAGAAAGCTTTGCCCCCCCACCCCACCCCACCCCACCCCCAAGCTGCTGTAACTGAATGTAAGGAAGAACCCAGAACATGAGAGATTGTTTCTTTGTGTGGTTTAGAGCTGAGTGCTCTAAACCTCTGACCCTGACAAAGGAGGAGGTTGCCTCTTTTGTTGCTGACAGAATGAAAATTAGCTCAATCTGAGATTGCATTTGAATACAAATTCCAGAACTGCTTAAAAAATTCCAACATTTTCCTGGAATCAATCAGGCAGGGAGACATAGCTTATGAAGTGTCATATGTATCCCTTTGAGTCAGTTGCCTCTGAGATCTAACAATTCACTCCAGATTAGAAACAACCAGTAAGGATTTGTTGAAATTAAAGAAAAGTCAGAGATATTATCCCATAAAATCTGCAGCTAACAATATGTGAGAAGATTTTAATTTTTTTCTTTTTCCACTCTTCCTTTCCAGAAAAACGAAAGGTATGATATATTGGTCCCATCTGGTAGGCAATCTCACACTCAGCTACTCCCTCACTCCCCCTTCCTCAGCAGGACAGAGGAAGACAAGGAAAAAAAGGAATGAGAAACATTCTGAATTAGTATGGAGTCAGGAAGATCACTTACTAATTATCATTGTCAGCAAAACAGACTTTATTTGAGATGAATAAATTTGTCAATGAAAATAAATATGGAATTACTTATTTGCATATTGGAAGGAAAAGGACCAAACATTTACATACTTAGAGAAAACATCTCTCTTCCCCGTTTTTCCACACTTATCTTCACTCCAAATTCCTGTTTCCTCCTTATTATTGCTGTAGATTACACTCATTCCCTACAGTGAGGCAATGCACCATGCAAGGCTGAAGGAGTGAGTGTATGTATGTGAGAGTTACGGTCAGTACATAGCAGTTTCTTCTGGCCACTCCTTACTTTTCATTTTCTCTGCTTCTGTTACATTCTTTCTACTACTGCAGCAGAAAAAAGTACCTGAGTTTGGATTCAGTTAACTTGACTCATTCAATTTTTTTTCTTTTTTAAGCAAATATGTCTTACAGAATATGAATACTTAGAATTACAGCCTGGTACTTCTGCGATAAAAATCAACAGGATGTGGCTCATATAGGAACCAGCTATTTTTAGTAAGATTCCTGAAGTGGGATATAATTTTAAGTCTTCTCTGCATTTTTATTTCTGAAGCTGCTTGCGAGGCTTGAATGATACATGATTAATAATTGAGCACATCATATTTATACATTCCTTTACAATAGATGCATGAGAAGAAACCAGAAAATTAAGCGGGTAGGGGAGGAAAAGGCAAAACTTTGTTTCTATGATATATCCTGCCAGAAAGACATGAGTCAGTAGTGATCATAAATTTTATGCCAATCTACATGTGTTTAACTTTTATGTATTACTTTCTACACTACTTCATTTTTATTCATGTCCCATTCACTCTTGCTCAAATGAATCAGTAGAAAGACTGTTGTAACTGCATTAGGATTAAGGCTAGACTCTCCCAAAATGCACACTGTTTAATGGGGATAGAAGTCAGTTTAAAAATTAATACAAGGCATGTTTCTCCTAAATAGGATTCTATGTAGTCAGCAGAATGACCCAATATCTTAGGCTAAGTTGATACTTTTTCTTGGAATGTGACAATTATCTGCCTGTACCTCCAACCAGAGTAAAATAATATTGTCAATCAACTTCATTACAAAATCTTATGAATTTTAAAATAAAATTGTCAGTTACTCTGCCTTGTAAAGGTAAGGACTAATGCTCCACTTGTGATACATTGACGTAACTACCACATCTACCTCTCTTCCCACTAAGAATTGCTGGCAGTAAACTGATCATAAACCACTAGTGTCTTCCTTTTGAAGACTAAAAACTCTACAGAGAAAGATATGAAGAAGTGTATTGTTTTCACAGTTCTCCTCAAAAGAAAATAGGAGCTACAGTGTGAAAAAACCCTGAAAATTTAAAACAATACTTCATTGGTAATTTAAAAAGGCATAGTACAGCATTACAGTCTTAGTAATTACCATGGTCCTTCCTCTGTTCCCAGTCAGAAAAATTTCTGAAGTCTCTGCACTCTCCATTTTTGTAGAATGTAATGAGGCCACCTTATTCAGTATCTAGTGTTCAGTGGTAGCCATATCTATATGCTTCACAGAAATAAGCAGAACTATTCTCCTGGAATAATTTGTACATGGAATGTCTAAGGGTAATTTCATTCCTCGCCAGCAGTAGGTGTTTGTTATATTTAGTTTTTAAACATGAAGATTTATATACACAGAGTCATAAAATAATTTAGTTTGGAAAGGATCTGTAAGACCATTGAGTCCAACCATTAACCTAACAAGTCAAATCTCCTTCTAAATATATCCTTAAAAGATAAATCTAAATGTCTTTTAAATACCTCTAGGGATGGTGACTCAACCACTTCACTGTGCAGACTGTTCCAGTGTTTGACAACCCTTTTGGTGAGATATTTTTTCCTAATATCCAAACTAAACCTCCTCCAGCACAAATTGCGGTAACTTCCTCGTATCTTGTTGCTTGTTGCTTAATAGAAGAGACTGGCCACCCCTTTACTGCAGTCTCCTTTCATGATCTTGTAGAGAGCAATCAGGTCCTTCCTAGCCTCCTTTTCTCCAGGCTAAACAACCCCCACTTCTTCCAACCCCCACTTCTTCAGCTGCTCCTCATCAGACTTGTGCTATAGACCCTACACCAGCTTCATTGCACTTCCCTGGACATGTTCCAGCACCTCAGTATCTTTTTTGTCATGAGGGGCCCAAAACTGAAAAGAGAGATTTGAGGTGCAGCTTCACCAGTGCCAAGTACAGCAGGATGAATTATTCTCAGTCATGCAACGACACAAGCCCTTTATAAAACTCTTCTACTAGATCTGTAGGTTTTATTATTATCTTAAGTGTTCAGTTTCACTTAGAATTTTACTATTTGTCTTTAGTACTCATGTAGTTAGTTCTTGGGATACAGTTATTTCAGCCATCACAACTTCATTTTGAGTAAGCTCTTTATCTCACTGCCACATTCTGGTATCAGTGTTGTCAGGAATAATGAGCTTAAACCTGCAGGTAGTTTTCTTCAGCAGCATACAACACAAACATATGCCATGTCATTTTATTACTTTGAGAATTTATTACATAGCTTGTTTCATATATGTCATAATATATTTTCTGCTTGTTTGCCCATTAACCACTACAATGGTATTTTCATTGATTCTGACACATTGAGCACATTCATCTTTCTCTGGAAGATCTACAGTTAGTACAGAAACAAATTATTCCAATGTTAACATTTGTCAGCATTTGTTTGCTGATTCATTAGCAGATCTTGTGTCACCTTCCTGAATGATGTTCTTTTGAAATCCCCCCCTGACAGCTATGATTGTTTTATGACATTTCTGCCCCTCCACTTGCTTGTTACCATTTTATAGCTGGGCAGTCAGAGCCTTCAAAGATGACCTGGTGGAACAGATTGTACAAATGTTTCTCATCCACTTCAGCAAGGTCATACAACTTATTATCCTAAATTGTTGAAACATAATGCGGACTACAATAGAGCTAGCAACAAGAAAATAGAATATTTTAGAATTTTGCAACAGGTATTTTGCAAGTAGAGCCTCCTTTTTTTGACATATGTAAGGCCAAATCTTTCTGAACAGTGTCTCAAATATTAATTTTATATAGAAATTCATCTTACAGTATGTAAAATGGCTTACATCTTACAGTATGCATTATGTCTTTCTCTTCCTAAGGAAAATCTGATTGCATTTGTCTGGTGAATATACTTGAAGGCCCACATACTTCTATACAACTGCCCCATTTTTTTTTTTTTTCCATGTTACATATTTCCCAAACCTACCAAAAGCCTAGTCTGATGAAAAAAAATGAGGCTAATATGAAAAAAAAATCACTGCATACATATTTTCAGAACAGAATTGACATTATTGCTGACAACTACTGATCAGTAGGAAAAGTGTGAAGAAAACACAGGTCTTCCATCTGCTTCATCCATCTGCTGAGAAAAGGAACTGTGTTACCATTAGCAGGTCTGTCTCTACAATTCTGTGTGTTACATGTACATTGCCATGACAAATGCTTTAAACATCTATAGTGTTTACCTCTATAGATAACTGTACTAAGCATTTAATTTTGCCAACAGCTCTGTTTGCTATTTTTTGAAATAAAATGCATAATAAAGCATAATTCCCAGATTTGTCCTTAAATTTCCTGACCAAAAATCAGCTATTCTTGAAAGTGTCTAATAAAAGAGTTTAGTTTACTATTAGATATACTTGAGAAATCACATTTAATATTTTTTGACTGAGAATTTTGGCACAATGTATCATTTGGCTACTTTCTATTTGCCTATATTCTATTTCAATATTGACATATTTCTCAAAATTGAAAGAAATAAAGTTGGGATGTAAACTTCACATAAAATAGTATTCTCCAAGTCCATCTATGGAGGTTATTGTTGAGGAGATCAGTTTTGTTGGAATTCTACATTACAAGTGTCAATCACAAACAGAGAATAAGGGAGACTCCTGAGGAATTCTGTTCAATATTCATTATTTTTCAATATTCTATACTTTATTTGTCCTATGGGTTGGGAACTTTAAAAAGAAAACCGAATTTTTAGTTACACAAATCCTGCCCAAAGGTGGGAGTAGCCTGTATCTAGCAGCTCCAGGCATTAAGATTTCTAGAATCCACACAAGGCCAGGTATTTTGCCCTTCTGCCCAGTGCTCATGTGTAAACTCAGTAGGTCCTGTGGTTTACACAAGAATGACAGCAGCATTGCACTCATTATTTCTGCTGCTGCATGGGCATCTTAAGTTCTTTCAAAATTTACTCCCTTGCTAAGTCTAGGAATTACACTGGAAAGGTTAAAGGTAAATTTCAGGTCACTATCACCTGAATCACTTCAAGAGTTTTCTTCTCGTCATCTCCTTTCCTCAGCATCTCTATTCCTGATTAGAAAGAACTCCAGATGAGAAGGGGTTTTGTTTGTGATTTTGGTGGGTTTTTCTTTGTTTGTTTTTGTTGTTGTTGTGTTGTTTCCATTAATGCAAGTAGTTCTGACACATAAACAGCTTTAGAAAATGACGGGGAGACTTTTAAATTCTGTTCTGTTATCTTGAATGCTGGTAACTATTTAGAAATAAAACTCCAACAAATTATGTACAATGACAATTAATTATACAAACATTGCCTTACTTTTTAAAATAAAGTTAACTAAATTACACAAAAAGATGCTTACGTTAAAAATTGCAAAAAAAAAAAGGTGTAAGTATATAAAATTATTATTCTGTAACATACATTCATCTTCTGAGTGCCCTCATAATTAATAGTCATACATAGGACAGAGATGGTGAAAGGGAGACAGCTGAGTCTCTTTGGGATTGTCATTGTGCAGTTGAAAGAGGTCAACAAATACTTTCCTGTTCAAAGACCTAATTGCAAGACCTTCTTTCATATTTGTGGGGAGAGTAATAATTTTGGAAGAAAAAAACTTTGCATTTTGCTAAAGAAATTGCATTCAATTTCATTGTTTTTCACCTTGTTTCAAAGTTGAACTACCACTGTTATTTTTTATAGCAGTGATTTGTTTTGTTAAATCTGGTGAAGGTTCTTTGTTGGCTGTTGTAGGTAAACAGAAAGAGTCATACCTCTGCTTTCTCTCTTACACAGCATTTCAATTAGAAGATGGAACAACTAGGAACTACTTTCCTCTGTCTTTTTCAGTGCTTAGCCCCATTGAGCAGATTAAATATATGGACAAAGCATATCTTGTGCCTGAATCACCAAATAAAAAGACATTAAGGTGGTTTTGTAAACATGCTGACATTTATTTTTAATAAAGTATGGATTACTTATTTTCTATTATGATGAAAAAACATTTTTAAAACCCAAACCAGTGTGGGTTAATATGCAGAAACTAAAGTGCATTATAAATTATCAGAAAAATTGGATTTTTTTTTTCAAAGTATGGTTGCCAGTAATTTAAAAGGTCTTTTAAATCATTTTGCATTTAAGACAATCAGCAGCAAGGAACATAATCTTCTATCAGAAGTAGCAAAAGAAATTATTATCTCCTTTCTTCCCAATTTTATGTACAAGGATATATATAATATATATATTTTCTTAAAAATCTAAACCCTATATAGTTTAAAAGGTTATAGTTATACAAGTCATTTTAATAAGGAATTTGTTTCTTCAAAGATTTGAACGAAATGGTTTATTTTAAGCAGCTAGTTGTCAAATGCAATCTTGTCTCTTGTTTTTCAAGCTCATGGAATATAAAAACAAGAAAGGAATTAATAGTCTATTATGTATGTTTTGGCTTCCTTATGAGCTGTCACTCAATAAATAGTTTCATACACATATAAGAACTCTTTCTGTGCTGTAATATCAATGTAGAAGAGCATTTCAATAACTGAAAAATTAATTTGCTCCCATCTGAAGGTCATCTCCATTATCAGCATGATAGAGTTGGAAATTATATATATTTATATCTATATCTATCTTTCTTTCTTTCTCTCTATATATGTATTAATATATGTCAAGGTATTTTGAGATAAACAGTGAGAGCTTAAAATGCTGTTAAATGAATAAAACTTCTGCCCCCTAGATTTCTCATAACAAAGACATCATTATTTTGTCCTGTCATCTTGTAATGAGTAATAAGATATATAGCATTGTTTTAGAAGTTGATTGAAATGTTGGAAAAAAAAGAGTAACACAAAAAGGAGAATTTAAATAATGAATTGCAATTAAACTTGACTCTCAAAAAAGCACACATTTGTTTCTTTGCAAGTATCTTCACCAATTCATTTTAATTCATTGTTACAGACAAAATTAACTTTCTTCTTACATTTCTTTGGATGAATAACAGTAGAAAAACTATGTAAAATCTTTCAGCTATGTCAATGTATGTGCAAACTTTATGACTGTGAAATGAAATAAATCAGGACTTAGGAAGCTCAGAACAAAATACTGAAAGCATTTATAGTGAGTTGCATTAATCAATTTACTGTGTGCTAAGCATTGTTTAGCTGAACTAATCATGGAAGATTAACCTTTAAAAATTTATATTACAAAATATGATCCCAATCTTGGTTCCTAAGGCTTTTAGCTCTAAAAGCCACATTTGACATTTACCAATAGTAATGTCATAGAAAAATGTTCCCATACTCTGCAAATGACAAAGGTTTGAAATTTTTTTTAATTTAATTTTTTTTAAGGAAGGAATTTAAGATTGTCATCAGTGCCAGTTTTGGTTTTTTGGGGGGCAGGGTAATTTTGTTGTTTTCTTTAATAATTACTTAAATGATGACTTAAATTAGGATATCGCTTAAAATCTTTAGAAGTTAAGATAATTAGAAATTAAAGATAATTAGAAATTAAGTGTTTAACTCTGAAAAATATCAGGCAAGCATTCAGATTTTTTGCACTGGTCACAGTTTCCTCACTTTACTTGAATGAAGCAAAAGTACTTTAAAGAATGAATGTGAAAAAACCCCCTGGTTTTAGGTTATAATCTGGTTTTGAATCACAGTAGCACTGAATTAGATGAAAAAGTATGAACTTCCAAAGAGTCCTGTAATTTTTGCTGTGGTGTCTCATGTTTATACCTACTTCTGACCTTTGCCTTCAGGTAGTATTCAATATTGAGACTGAAAAATAAGTAAAAAGTAAACAACCATTTCTGATACATTCAGTGCTTACCATTCAAATTTTATAGTATTTTTCTTAATAGACTTGTAAAGTCTACCAAATACAATTAAGAAAGAGACGTTCAAGCATGTTATGCAGCAACTTCTATGAATGAAGTTCCAGAGCGTAAAGGAATATTCAATAAACATTGAAAAGGAGAATTTTTGAGACAGGCTCTGTTGCAGTACTAATCCCTGGTAGCAGTACCAAAATGCCATGGATCTTTTTTCCATGTAATAAAAAGGCTGTCATTGACACCTTATGGAGTTGGAACACATATCTTTTAGACTGATGATACATAAGATCTCAAAGAGTGGGAGTGTAGATAGCATATATCTTGAAATACAAAAGTGTTTAATACTTACCCAAATCTATTCTTCTATGAAAAACAAAACCTGTTGGAAAGACCTGAAGAAAGTGACCATATAGGCTCTGGGGACACAAATTGAGAAGCAGAAGTCATGTAAAAGACCACCTCAAAAATGGACTAATTTTATAAAGGAATAAGGATATTGAGTTGAGAGATGTTACAATGCTAGATGCAAATTACCCTTCTAGATACCCTACTGAACAGGGAGCTTTTCAAGATTTAATTAAGCCACTTTTAAAAAATGTATTTGTGTTAAATACAAACTAGAATTGCACATGGCAGAAAATAGTAGTATTTTAATTCCTATGCCAATTATTATTCATAACAAAAATCTTAGAAACAAGGGTGTCTACTGCACCTTAACTTCCATTTTGAGAAATTCTACGAGCTCCAGGCATGTTCTCAATTTGAAGAATAGCTGTTAAGACACAGTTTAAAAATTAGAAATGTAATACCTGCTCCTGTTGCTGCTGCATCCACATAGATTGGCAGAAACTAAAGCTGTGCTCTAGATCTGCAACCAGCTGGATCAGACTCATCTGAAGTATTTGGATGTGTTGTTTTGAGAGGGGAAGGAGGAAAATTTCTGTGTCCTCTTAGTATCTCATGGGAAATTTAAAGGCTTTTCAAAAGTTCTACAAATTTCTTTTGTCCTTTTTTTTTTTTTTGGGTTTTTTTTTGGTTTTTTGGTTTTTTTTTGTTTTTGCTGACACAGTTGTACAGTAGCAGATCACAACATGGGAATGTCTTCTGGCTTGCATCACACTAACCAAGGGGTCTAGAATTCTGCTTTTAATTTCAGCTCATTCTTTAATCTGAACTCCTAGTACATGGTGATTTATATCCAAGCAACTAAAAGCAAAACACAGCATCAGTTTAACATAGTAACAACTTAAGCAATGTGAGGCTAGACTGCACTGTCAAATGCCCTATATCACGATGGGCAGTCTGTATGTGCGTACATGGAATATTCATACAAGATATATGGATACAGTAAACAAATGAAGCACACGTGACATTAAGCATTTGGTTCCAGTTAAGACCAAGGGAAACTGAAGTTTCCAGGCTCCAAGCAGGATATTCTCACATTGTCCAGTCATAGATATCTGTTTCAGAAAGAAAATGGAGATTTTTCTCCAGAACTCTCAAAGTTTGGTTCCACAGGTGTGTTCAGAAAGCAAGACCTCAAAAAAGTTCTCACCCTTGATTTTTTCTTTCCTCTTTCTGTCCTTTTAATGGGAACAGTTTTTAATTTCTTTGTCAGTAGCCTGATAAACTGTTATAACTATGGAGAAAAACTTTCTCCATAGACAACATTCTAAGTGGGTCATAAATTTTATGTTGAAATAAAAGAAATTTTATTTCTCCTGATGGTTACACCTGATTTGCTTGCATTGTGCTAAACTTCTGCTCTCTTTATTACTGCTAAGACTAGTTTAAAACTGAAGAAAGATTGACTAGTCCCAGTCAAGCTTATACAACAGAATTAATAGGAAATTAAATCTGCACAAAGATATATTAGCCTTTTTCAAAGCATTAGGTTAATGAAATGTTGATTCCATGCTTTTATTTGTTCTTTATCCTTTGAAAGTAATGGGGGAAGACATCAGACATATGCACATTTTCAAATAAAATGTTAGGCCTGTAAGCCACAGACTGGTAAAATAATAAGAATACTTTTAGAATTTCTTCTGCAGTACTTACAAAGTGAGGAGAAATCACACAGCTGACCACATTGCAGCTACTTAATGCTGCTATAAATAGATCATAATAAGCATGTGGTGTATGTGATTGTCTGTGCTGATAAATGAAAGGGTGTGAAATTTTCAGCATCAGTGGAAAGACGGGAAAAAGAAAAAAACCTTCCTGATTGCAGCTGCAAATGGTAGCAATTTTTGCTTCCTGCATTAATGAATGTAATTCATGTAACACATATTACATCATTCAACAGCCAAATTCTCACATTCAGTTCACAGACAAAAAGTATTTTAATTAAGAATATCAATGAGTAATGACAATCCACTTTCAGAAAAAGCAAAGAAAGACACTTCTTTGGCCATGTAGGAGGAGCTGTGATGCAAATATATTTTATCAGTGTAATAAATTCACTTTCCTAAAATTCTTTACCAAAAGAACATCCTTAAAGACACATTCTGATTTATTTGTCTATTTTCTGTGTCTAACCTTCCTTTATGTGCAGTATTTGACTGCAAACCTGCATTTTCATTTTACAGTCTTTAGTGATTAAATCACTTCATCTTCTATAAACGTCACAAGTTCAAAGAGCTTTCAGCATCTGAACTCCAACACAACATACAAACTAAAATAATTCATTTTCTAGAGACCATAACAAATTTTAATGCGCATTTACAGAGTAAACAGAGGGCTGAAGGGGGCCAAACCAGACAAAGTGAAGATATGCATTACAAAATCCACACATTACTGAATTAAAAACTAAAAAGTGGAGTTTTGTCCAAAAAGGAAATAAAGATGTTTCTTGGTGGCACGACATACAGATAATATTAAAAACTGGCTTGCATGAGGACCAAAGTATGTCTACTCTGAAGTTATATCACACAGACTGTAAGCAATTTACAGAATTTAAGTTAGTTTTGCATATACAGGAGTTGCAAAATTAGAGAAAACACATTGAAATATAGAATGCACACACACAAAAAAAAGGATGTATATATATATAAACCTCCACATAGTCATCAGGGGCTGGCCTAAGTTGGTACTTGCCATCATTGAACAAGAAACAAACAGAAAGACAGGAAAAAAAAACCTCAAAGGGGGAAAATAATAGTATATTGGAAAGCAAAAAGAAAAAATCTCAAAAGAAAAATATCCTCATATGTTTTTCAGAAACAACATCCCATAGTCTGCTGAGCTGCTTAGTAGAATATTCCTATTCCTCATGCAAAAAAAAAAAAAAAAAAAAAGAAAATAAGAAAAAGACTTTTTGATAAAGCTTGTATGTATTCTATTTATATTAAATCACTATAGTTTGTTCCATTATTTGGCCTCTTTTTGCTTCCAGGCCGGAACGGTTCTTTCAGCGTAGGAAACCAAATGTCATCCATGGTTAATTCTGTAATACTGAGGACTCGCAGGCCAACCCTTGAGAAGTCAAGGATGAGGCTTCTCCTTGCCGAAAGAAAAGGAAACTAGGTCTTGCTGTTACAAAACATTTGATTACATCACACCAGTTCTCTTCAAATAAAATATCAGTGATACGCCGAAGAAAATAAGATATATCAAGAAAACATGTGGTATCCTCTTCTTTTTTTATAATATTTTATTTTATTTTATTTATTTAGTAATTTTGTTTGTACTTCCTGAAGAAGGTGCTCCTTGTGTAGAGATTTAGAGTACATTGGGTGCAGAGTGATGGTTGGAGGTTAGGGTCAACTTTGCTGTCCGCTCCGTGGATTTTACAGGCGATTTGCTCTTTGCTTTAAGAAGAGAAAGTGATATTGGAAAAAGTCAGCACTTTTAGATTAAAGCAAAGCACCCTTCACAAAGCCACAAACAAGAAGCAGGACAGAAAGTCCATGGCTTGTAGCTATCCTCGCACCTGCGGAAGAAGTTATAAGATATTCGCTCATCTTGCAGATTTCCAATGCTCCTTATAAGGCTGTTTTAAACATATACATTTATTTATTTAATTAGCTCGCCAGGTTGGCTCTGGTGCCCATGAATGTCTTGGCATGCACTGCAAACAACAACACATACAAAGTATTTCAGTCCCAGGGAGGTTTGTTTGTTTGTTTTGATTTGCTTTTTTTTTTCTTGTCTGTCTTTTTAAACAATATTACCCAATGAAACCATAAACCAAGAGGAACAAAACCAAACACCTTCCACCTCAGAGTGTTCTTTACAAAATCATTTCCAGCATCACATCATTGACTGCTAACAAAAAAGTCATCTAGTGGCTAAAGAGTGTTTCCTTGTAGACCGGAGGAGATGCAGGCAAATGATTGTGCTATTTACAAGGGGGAAACAGACTGCCAAAAGGTTTGGGTTATTTATTTGTGAGAAATTATATTATCCCAGACTTAGTTTTCTTTTAAAAACTTATGAAAACAATGGCAATATAATTATTTCTAAACCCACTATGTTATATTTAGTATGCTAGCAGAATAAAAACATTTGTAGCTAGACTGATATAGACTGAAGTGTTCACACACCAAGGGCACGAGTATTTAGTTGTCTTACATGCCAAGTCTCAGTGCTTGAAAACTTCCCATATCATCTGGAATTACATTCATATTTTGAAAATAATTACTTGAGGTTAAAACTGTAAATCTAATTTTGTAGTACTGTAAGTAGAGGTCCAGATTAGAACAGGCTGATGCATGATTAATAGATTTTATATCTGTGTTGTATATTTGAAAAGGATAAATATTATTGATGGTTAGAGGCATCAGTCCTATAACAGGGTAACAATGTTGTTATAAGTAATCCATGAGAATCATGGACTTGTAATAAATTGTTGTTTTGGTTTTTTTCAATCTATTAATCATGTATAAGGTATTTTTGTAAAGTACTTAATATTAAAATAAATTATGGATTTCATTGAAACCCCCAAAAGCACATTTATCTTATCATAAGGAATATACACAATGAAAGCAAAAAGAAATCCAGGCAAGCACTTGTTTTTTTAAAGTTTTCAGATGTATCACTGTTCTATGTGTCTGCTAACTATAAGTGAATCAAGAAGCATTTTTGTTCCTGTCTTTAGTAATTTTTTCATTCTTGAAATGGGGATGAAACTAAATCACATATTTTAGATAAACACTGCTTGCTTGGGTAAATATATGTGTAAGATGTTACATATATAGCAGTTTCCATAAAAGATCCCTACTCCTCTGTCACATACAGAAAAACTTCTAAGCAACAGTAGTATTTCAATTATACATATGTGAACTGAATTGTTAAATAAATATTAACATTTAAATGAAAACTTGTCTCAAAGACATTAATAACATTTTCCCAAGATAAGTCCAAAGGAACTTTGAGCTTAGTTTGTACTGAAAGAAGACGTGAATGGGAAGCCCTACCATTCTCTTGCCTGTCTGATGTTACTTGCAGTACTCTGCTGTGGTTTGGTGTGTCTCTCAGGACACTTGTTCTGTATTACAAACAAGCAAATGCATAAGCAAATTTGCTGCAACTTTTTCCTGTGTGTTTTTCTACACAGATAGTTTTTATGATCATGAATCCAAGAGTTTGATTTATGGTGTTGGTTTTACTGCAGCATGTCCTTGTTCTCTCTCTCTGCAAAAACTGTAAGTTGACAGATTTTTACATGAAGGCTTTTCTTTCCCTAACAAGGTTAGCAAAACTGAGTTAGAATCTTTATGAGTTAGATAATTTTCTGATGTATTGAATTATTTGTACTTGTTTTATTGCATTTCATATTGTTTCTTTTTGATTGAACTAAGGAAATATATCTCAATACAACTCTAAAGAGGTCCTTAGAGATACATTTTGCCTGCAAAATACATATAATGGAACTTTGAAGAATTTCATGAATGTATTTTAAGAGTTTTTATAACAATTAATTATGTTACAATTTGAGAATTTTAAAGCTGTGCAGAAGAGAAAAAGTATGATATGTAAGTTTAACATAAGATATGTGACAGTGGGAAAAACAACACCATATTTGCAGACAAAATATTCTCTGTTTTTTTTATCATTTTGCTTTTTTCAATAAGACAATGTGTAGATCCCCAAATTAGAGGGTAATTTATAATGCATGCACATAAACTTTCTATTTATAATGTTCAGTTTCTGCATAGATCATTTCACATGTTCTACATCCATGTTCTTCTTTAAACAGCAAGTTTATTTTGCAGGGGATTTAGGCTAGAGTGTATGCACTAAGTGCAAGCTAAAACAATTTTAAGCATATTGGAAAAAATTAAGGCAATTAACAATGAAAAAAAAATTTCAGTTTATATGTGGAAAAAGGGGCTGTTAGGATTACTGGGAAAAAACTGTAATAGACACCATCCTTTGCAAGGTTTTGGGAACTGATTATTAAATCTTAACCTGATTTGTTTCCAAACTACTGTTTAATCCAAACAGAGAAATTTTCCGTCCTATATCAGCCCACACAACTTGACTTGAAATATACAGTGACATATATGGCTATTAGGTGTGCTCTCACATTTCCAGTGATGTTTTATGAAATAAAATTGAAGTATAAGTACACTCAGATTTTTTTTTTCCAGAGAAGAATTGTATTTTTTCCTTCATGAACCTAAGTATTTGTTTCAATTTTGCAAGAATCAAAGCTGCAAAAGTAGAAAAAGAACATAGCAAAACTGAAAGCAGCTTTTTCATATTTTTTTCTTTCTTTTGCTCTGTCATTTTTGATCATATTTTATTATTTTGTTTTTAATCTTAAAGAAAAAAAGTGACAAAAAGTATTCACAAATTTTCATTTTGTCTTGGAATCTGGAAGTCATAGGGTGCTTAAATCAGAGGCTTAATTCCACTGTATCCAAATTCAGACTTCTATGCAAGTGTGTTTTCAGTCCACCATTCTGATTAGGACTTGAATAGTATCACCTGAACAGGCAGTAAAAAGCTGTCTATCTGGCTGTGGATTTGATAAACTGATTATTCATTATCCCACCATTTCAAACATTATTTTATAATTAACATAATAAGAGCTGAATGAAATTTTATTGGAGGTCAACAGCACTGGGTAAAGCTGGACTGCAATTATATAATTGTCAAAGACAGTCACTCAGAAGAAGAACTGTCATGTAATGTATGTGTGTATTATTTCTACATTATTAGTTAAACTCCACTTGATGTGTGGGTCAGACATTCTCACCACTCTCACAATTTCACCTGTCAGCCATGGGGCTCCAGTTAAATTCCTCTTGTGATATGTAAATTCCCATAACTTGTCTTTTATTTCCTGCTCCTAACAGATATCCAAAAGGGCAAATGTCCCTGAAATACTTAGCTTTCTCCTGTAAACAAATGCTATATTGCCAAAGGCATGTGATGATGCGTTTTTGTGCAACAGCATGAAAGATTAGTTCATGACATTAAAGTGTTTGAAACCATGACTTATTTGAATTTATGATTTGCTTAAATGTTAGGAACATAAATAAAAAAAATAGTGAAAAATAATTGTGACCTTAGTCTTTAAAATTAAAAAAAAGTCTCTGTCACAAATGCTTGTATTTTATAGCTCATGGTGTATGAACCCCACTAAACACCAACACAGCTTAACATCAGTTTTGCTGTGTTAATAAAATTAATTTTGGAGCATATAATTATAAAATAAAGCCACTAGAAGATATAAATTCTTGGTAAAATGCAACTGATAAAAAAGGTAGTTACTCATCCCATGCCTGAATGCAAAGAGGCATGATGCCTTGCCTTCACTAAGATATTGGTCAGTCAAAATTTGTGTATGATACATCAGATTTGCAAGCAGGGGTGGTTGAATAATTTTGCCCATTTATTTACACAACTGGATGAGACACTGAATTGTGAACAAAGCAGCTGCCTCAGGAACTAAAATTTTAGCATCTTCTGTTTGTAAAAGTACCCTACATGGTAAACCACCCTGGGTCAAAAACAGTTTGCATTTGCCAGAATTTAATTTTAGCAAGTTTGGCATTCCTTGTGCTTTCTAAGGTTTAAGATTTCTCTGGTATATAATAGCATCCAGCATTCTGAGCCTCAATAACTGTCAGAGCCTCTTAAAATTGTATCCTTACATTTGTGCGTACGATGCACAGAGTATTCTCACACAAATAACAGAAGGAATCAGAAAATTCAAAAGCATTTCTTTAGTACTTTACTAAACATATACATTTAGTTAAGGTATCTTTGAGTTTCCTTTAAGTAGTAACCCACTGGTCACAGGAAAGAGTAATGCCTTAGTAGAGACCTTGCTCTGTGCTGACCACTACAGGAGAAATACAACCAGTCACACAAAAATTCATCCCAGATTCTCTGTACAGATTATATTAGGCCAAAATATTAACACATGCATTTCAGAGACATATATTTGGGCTGTGCTGGGTATGAGATAATTTTGTTGTTCTACTGATTTCTGAAATGACAGAGCTCTTGAAACCTTGGAAGTTTCATTTTTAAGGAATTTGTGCTGAGGTTTTCCATCTTTAAATGCCTGGTTTTGCAACATTTAGTTTTGCTTTATACTGCTAGATTTGAAATACTCTTCTTGTCAGCCCCAGCTGAACCCAGACAAAGTCATAATTTTGCATTATTTCCAGGAAAAGTAAGTAAAAGTTCATGTGATATCTGTCTTAATTTTACTGGGGACATTAATGAACCATAAGATTACTTGGAGGATATTTGCAGTTTTATTTCCATAAAGACAGGTAAAACCAAGTATGACTGATTTTCTTTGAAGCTTTATTTGAATATGTCTCACACAGGTTTTCAATAAATAGATTCTTTCCCTCTGGCCTGCCAATTTCTATCATTCTTATTCCTCTGAATTGCAGAAATGCCTATTGTGTATATCTGTTCCATAGTGATGGGATAAATATACCCACACTAAGGAAGAATTTTTCT